AACGGGCTCTGGCCAGGCCAGTTCTCACAGGATCCGTTTCGAGAAGTGTTCTGGATCGTTTCTTGTTTTCTTCACGTTTCCACTTCTTGCCGTAGTAGTGTGTTTTGTAAAGCCTTTGAGCTGATCTTTGTTTACGTGAGAATGGTAAGGCAGCCCTATAGTGATTTACTTTTTAAAACCAAAAAACCCCGCATACGTGCACAAACTTTTCTTGTAAATAGTAACATTATCATATATGGACCATGTAAACTGTGCCTTAAATAGCAGGTCTAAAAGGAACATAGTGTAAGGGAGCCAGAAATACCAGCTCTCTAGTACAGTACCGTGAGTAATCTTTCATAGGTTTGGTTGTTCTTGATGTCAGGCTTCGGGGGTTGTTGCTCTTTACATGAACTAGATTTTGGCCTCGTATTATTGGAATTTCAATATCCTAATCTTATTCGCATCTTGGAGGGAAAATATGTTTATAGTAGACCTACTGTTGCGGTACATGAAAGCTCTTGAGATCTGTGAAGTTTTGACATGTTCTAAGCAGCCCAGGTCTGATACTGTTGTGTTTAAAAAATGCACATGGGATCAAGTTCAATATAAAGCTGGAGGAGTAAAGGCATACTTCATGCCTTTACTTGACTCCCTGTGAAATTCAAATAGTTTACAAGTTATAAATTTCACATTAACATAAACCAGCAGTTTACTGTTTGTTTTCCTGAGCCCTGGCCCTCAGCCTCCAAACTAGACAAATTATGAATGAATTTTTGCAGGAAGATTATGACCCTTTTGCACCTTTCAGGCATATAACATTTTATTGCCTTTTGGGGTGCTATCGGTAAAATAATGACTTAATTTCTCTGTATCCCTCCTTCTGTCAGCAATTTTCTTCTTTTCCCTCCAAAACTAATCACAAGCAAATAAAAAAATCCCAACCACTCTGCATGGTGGAAATCACAACTTCACATCTGACAGTAATGCAAAGCTCTTGGTAACAGAGTTTCAAGTCTTATTCTTTCACATACAGTTTCCAGTCTTCCCCAAAACATGTGTACAAAGGACTAAGCTGTCTCTGTGTAGGTGAAATGTACTTTAAAAAAAAAAAAAGTATTTCAGTAACCAGTTTTGCTTAGCCATCAGATTAACTTGGAGAGGAATCCTGGTCAAGCTTGCATACTTCCCTAAGTTTATTGTATTGAGCAGTGGAACTGTTCAGCGCAACAAAGCTAAACTGATCTGTGTGCTTTAGAATCACATGTTGTGGACTTTATGCATTTCTGTCTCTGCTGATCTTACTATTTGTATGGACACTTGTGAGCAGAGAAGTAGAAGTTTGTTTAAAAAAAATCAGCTTTTAAGGCTTTAATGTTGGTTTATCTTGTGCTTATTATTTTTTACGCTTCTAGTTTTGTATTTATACGTGGAAGCCTTGTCTTTTGTTTCCAAAACTTTGCAGAAGTTCAAAGGCATTATTTTTCAAAAGGTAAAAATTGCTCTCTTTAATCAATGAGGATGTGCTTTTTTTTTTTTTTTAAGAAATGAATGTAGACATCTTTTTTTCAACCCTAGAAGTCTGCTAGTGATTTCATAGGCAAATATTAATTAAATGTCTAAAATTATTAGCTCATACAAAAGGTAAAGAGTAGAAATTACTATTCTTTTTCCCCCCAAGAAAATGTCAATTCATAGTTTCTGAGACTGTCTTTTCTGTGGTCTATAGGTGACTATCATGACATTGCTTGGAATGTATTATTTGACTGAAATTATTTTTATTATTCAAGGAGGAGGGTAAGGGCTACATCCACAGAAGGTTCTCTGCCTCCAGCTTGTTTGCTGGCATGTTGGTTTTGGCAGATGAGTTTTGCAAGAAGGATTGCTTTTTAATTAATCGCCTATTTTCAGGAGCCTGGCTGTGATCCCCAGACTAAGTGAAGTGTCTTCTTGTTTCCTAGATTTAAGAGTTTATGCCAGACTCATATCCTCTGTGTTCTCCCCTGGTTTGTACAGCCAGGTCTTGCAGAGCCTGTGGATTCCATATTTGGAGTGCTTTTCCTGAGCACCCAGGGGCTGTTTCATAAGCCTTTAAGCAGGAAGGAGCTTAAAAGGCTAAAGAGAATCCATTGCCTTAATCCTAAAACTTAAGGAAGAACTTGGATTTTATTAGGGGTCTCATTGGGCAGGAGTTTTGCATTTGCAAATGGGACTTGATTGGAAGGAACTGATCTGACTGGAAAACCTGATACTCTCTCCTTTTCCTCCCCTCTCCCTCTGGCTCCCTCCAGTTCCCTGCATTGTTCCCCCCATTTCAGTTCGTTACACAGCCACGCAAGAATTATATTGCCATAACAGACAGGATGGTGTGGAGGAAGGATGATGCAGAGGGAAGCTGAAGGATGCTTGAACCAGAAAACGTGTTGTTGACTTTGAATGTTTTAAAATTTACAAATGCTTAGCCTAGAGGAGCGTCCACACATTTCTCAGCTGCTAACCCTCCTTTAATCCACTTGTAAATACAAGGACTGTGAAGTTCATATCATACAAGTGCTTCAAAATTTGGGAAAAAGTCACGGGGAAAAATAGGGATGTATTTTAATTTATTCCTCCCTGAAAAGTGCCCAAGCTTGAGTAGATAATACGTTTAGCTTCATGAAAGGCTACTTGCATGTGCTCTTGAGTGCAAGACTGCCACTTCATCACTGTTTTGTTAATCACTATGCAGAGAGCTGAAAATACTCATTCCAATTAATCAAAGTCAGTGATCTTGCCATACCTTGTGGTTGTAAAACTGAAATGCCTGTTTTGGCTAATTTTACACCAAAAACCTTCCAAAGTGTCAAAATGAGATAAAAAATAAGCTTTCTGAAATGTGGGAAAAAATGTAAAGATAGTGATGTAATTTAAGGAGGAGGGTGCACAATCAGTCACTTTTGACACTCCTGTAGGACATTTCCTGGTAATTGTTCTAATTGAGTGGGTAATGCTGGCTTTTTAAGAGAAACGTTTGTGTAAAAGTACTTTTAAAGTTTCTCATTAACTGCAGTGAGATTTGAGCTAGACATTGATGTGTATCTCTAAATAGCATCTGTTTAATGCCTTTATCACCGGATTCATTCAGGTCAGTGGTTCACCTTTTTTAAAGTAACAATTCAGGCACCTTGGTCCTCTGTTAGCATGTTAAATCACCTTGTGATAGTAACACTATCAAGAGTGCTGAAGAGTTTTGGATATTTTGTCTAATTATGTTCAAAGTGTTTGTAGTTCTATTGAAGCTGAGATTTGGGATGCTTTGAAAGAGAGGAAGCAAACTTCCCTGCATTTTCATCTGAAAATAAAAAGATTTTAAAAGGAGAGCAGCTGCCGTTGCTAAATTTTTGAAAGACTGAGGGCCAGAAGTCTATTTTGTTGTTGTTTCTGGTGGGTAATACCTGGTGACTTAATTAGTCTTAGATGCAGAGCGTGTCTTAATACACCTATTTCCTATGTATTTAGCAAGTTTTCAAGTGCTAGTAGTGTTAAGCAGTGAAAGAGCATTTGTTGTTCGTCATTGAATTTGAATTTCTGTCTAAAAGCAGTTGGGCACAAATTATGAATAAAAATTATGTATGTGGTAAATAAAATGTAGTTTGATTTACAACCTATTAGAGTTGATTTTTATATATTATTATTGCATTGAATGAAGTATACCAAGCTGTTCTGTAAGTTAGACCGTTTACTTCTGTGGTGAATATCATGTAACTTAGCCAAGTCTGATGTGAAAATTACTGAAGCACCAAAGCATGGATGCTGTAGCTTATTTTTCAGCTGAGTCGTCGTATTTTGACTTTTGTACTAGTTTCATTGTACCGTCTTGCTGAATCTTGACAGACGGAATGGAAATGGAATGTATCTGAAGTAGCAAGATATGCTTTCTTTACTTACAGTAGTGAATATGTCTATTATAACATTATTTCTTGTTCTAGATAAAGCAAAATATTTTGGAATTAGTCTGGTAACATGAATTTATTTTTCCTAACTTGAAAAGCAGCAATTGACATCCTGAGAGTTCTAATAGCATAGGAGGTATACAGCTGTATATATGGAAGCTATAATGGTCTAATGATCTAGCACAAGACTAATACTTTTTTTTGTTTGTTTTAATGTAGGGATAATGATGAGACAGCAAAAGAAGAGAAAGCACCTGTGAAAGAGAAGTACGTTGCAAAACCGAAGGCAATCCCTTCTCTTGGAAACAAGAATAGATTCCACCCCTATTCAAAGGACAAGAATGCAGGCACTGGAGAGAAGAAGACTGTTAATCGTAATAGAGTTTTTATTAGCAACATCCCGTATGACATGAAATGGCAAGCTATTAAAGATCTTATGAGAGAGAAAGGTAACTTACTCCTTATAATACACTTCACATAGTAAGGGATAGAACTTAAATGCAATGTATATGTCCTTTGAGCCACACAAATTTGATTTGACCTTTTTTTTTTTTTTTTTTTTTTTTTGGCCTTTACTTGGTACATCTATCTCCTTTCCCCCTCTTTCATCTGAGACAATTGCATTGCAGGGTAGGATGGGTAAATGAAGTGCTTACAATCTTCTGCCATTCTAGTGTGACAGTAGAGAGTATATGCATGACCTCATGACTTCTTAAAGAGATTGTGTTTCGTCTAGTTGCAGTCTTTGTAGATTTTTTTTTTAAGGGCTCTTGTATTTAAGCAACACATTTAGTGTGTTAACATGAATAATAAAGGACGTCTTTCAAAAGTTGTTTTGTATTTCTTTGGTGGAATCTGGCTGTGGAATTAACTTTGTCTGCATTGTCACTACTGCCATGACTGTTTGTCTGGAGATTTGTATTAAAAGCTTGTTACTATTGTTGCAGTTCTGATAGAGTAATCTTACTACCCCAAATGTTTCATTTTAAGTTTGGGGTAAAATAATGCTAATACATGAATTCTGTAAAAAGTTAGTTCTGTGTTTTCCTTGAAAAAATTGATTCTTCAAAAGTAATGCAAAGCACACTTGGCTTTTAGGCTGTGAAAAATGCCAAAACCCCCTTCTGTAACTGCTGGTTTATCTGTTGTAAGGTGACGTGACTATTTGATTGGTTTATTTACTGAAACTTCCTACTTTAGAAAGTGAGTGGCTTGCTGTGAAATACTTGATGTGTAAATTTGGTTATTATTGAAGGCAAACTTATGATTGAAGATATTCAGGTAGAAAGTCACCTTAAAACAGGTGTTGTGAGTAGGATGATAAATGTAACACTTTCCAGTGAACGTTGACGTTTCATTTGTTAGGGTAAGGGACTGTGTATATCAGAATTTGTTCACCAACTATATCATACTGGCCAAAATATGATCTGTAGTATGAATTAGGTTAAATATAGTTGTTTGTTTTTAGCTTTTGAGAATGTGGCTGCTGCATATTTCTGAAAATTAGCTAAATTATATAGCCATTGACAGGAGGTATGTTGGTCTGGTTTTGATTGTTGGTGAATAATAGGTGCTTCTCTGTAGAGTTGTGCACAGGGGCACAGTAAAGAAAGATACTGGTGTTTAAATGCATTGTCTCTTGGTATTTTCCCTTTGTATGTCTTATGTAGTTGGTGAGGTTACATACGTGGAGCTGTTTAAGGATGCTGAAGGAAAATCAAGGGTAAGTGCCGTGGGCAACAATCTGCTAGAGGTTTAAAAGTTCCTCAGCAGTTTTATTTTTGTATAATACCTGTACCAGTTATTGGAAAGTAAGTTTCATTTTTACACTGATTTTCATTAAGATAGCCTTGAGGGTTTTGTATTAGAAGTAGTCTGACACTTTCATGCAACTCAAATTAGCTGGCTGTAAAGGACAAAATACTTCTGTAAATGTTAACAAATGGCATTTACTTAATTCTTCTTTTTAGCCAATATCTTTGTTTTGGTACAAATCTGTTTCATATAAAGGACGTTCAATAAACCACTGATTTTATTTAAATTTTGTTAGTGTAGTATTCTCTTCTTGGGGCCAATGAGTATAAAATGTTAGCTAAGAATATAGTGTTTGAAGTGCCTGATTTGACAGCTTTGCAGGATTGGTACTCTAAACACTGGATTAATGTATTTGCTTTCTTAAAACTAAATGGATGGAGATGGTTGGTAGCCAACAGAGTGCCAGCAATGAGGCACTAAGAGTGAAGATTGTTAAAGCTCTTTTGTCTTCAAAATAGTCCAAAGTTTGGCCAAAAGTAGCTCTGAACCTGCAGTGAGAACATGAGAAATGCAGGTTTGAGTCTTAACTGAGGTTGTATCAATTGTTGTAAATGACTTTCTTTAATGCTTGTTAAAACTAAAACATCCTGTCAGCTTTGCTCTACTTAAAGCAATCCTCAAATCTTTGCTTTATTAGAAGGATTCTGGTGCAGTCAGTAAGGTTATTTTCTTACAAAGTAATTTCTCAATTATGCTAGTAGTACTGAAGAGGTATGCAGACTCCTTGTTCATTGTACTGGTATACTTGATGTAGGTAGATTTGAATTTTGTAGTCAGTGGGCAGCTTTTAATGACACGTTGAGTGTCTTGATTGGTTTTTGGTTATGTTTTGGGGTTTGTTGTTGGTTTGTTTTTTTTTTTTTCTTTCTACCCTTTTCTTCCCACCTCCTCTCCCCAGTTGTCCTTACATGGTCTGTGTGGCATTTTTCCAATTCTGGTTTGGCTCAAAGAGAATAAAAGATAATGTATTCTCTTGCATTTGAAAGGTATGTATGTTGAGAAAGCAGGAGAAATTCAGCTTGGCTACCAGTAAAGAGCATGTATGATGGATTTTGAAGCTGAAAACAACTTGAATAGTCATTTAACAGTGAGCTGGGATCTTTAACTGGAATCTTAAATGCTCTATCATGTGTGCTGACTGACTTTTGGTTTTTTTTTTTTTTTCTCTTTACATATGATGACAAATCATCATGGATGTAGGGTTGTGGGTAAGTTTCTTTTTCTATGTGTGTAGAAACACACTACTATCCAAAGATTCTGTTAATTTTAACATTTTAAACTTTATTTGTTTTGTTCCCTCTAAGTGTGGTTGAATTCAAAGATGAAGAATTTGTTAAGAAAGCATTAGAAACTATGAACAAATATGATCTTAGTGGAAGACCCCTGAATATTAAAGAGGTATGGTTATTGCTGCTGTTTTTAATTTGAAATAGTGAAGATACTATAACTACTGAGATGACAATGCAGTGTTTTGAGCATCTTAGCTGTGTAATTTCCAGTTTAATTTTTTAATGATATTTTCTTAATGGGCTAGAGTGCCTGTTGGCTTGCACAGGCTCTTGATACTATGCCAACTGAACTGACAAAAAGTGTGTCCTAAAGTCAAAATAATCTAATACTGTTTTTCTTTAAAACAACTTTAACTTCATATTCTTACCTTAGTGTCATCAGTTTTTTTTCCAATCTAAATGATTCTATGTTTACATTGCTTACCTGCTTCAAAATATGCAGAATGAGCTGAGTATCAGACTACTACATATGTGCAGAAGTGGAGCTGAAAGTAGAGAACTTGTGCTGACTGGAAAGTGCAATTAATGTCAACATTTCTATTGTAGTGTTGTAGTATATGACAGTATCTGATGCAGTTCTTTTTGTCCTGTTACAACTTTAATAATAGTATTAATAAATAATTAAAAAAAAACCTGATTAAATTAATTCAGTTCTTGGAAGAAGGTGCTAGACTGACAGTCCTTTAGATTGAAATCTTTTCTACTTGTCCATAGGCTAGGTACAGCATGTGAAGTGGCAGTGCACGCTTCCTCAACAAGTGCTTTGCCAATATGCCTCAACCCTCATCTGAAAGGACCCACCTCTAGAGGTGAGGGAATTAGGTCTCCATGCTAATTCAGTTCTTGATCCCTCTGACATGGACAAGGATATTAGTTGATAATTTTGATGGGTTTATTTAGAATTTCAAATAGTACCTTTTTGTTTGTTGCCAGTCCTCTTGTTGACAATTAAGTTGGCTTTATTTTTGCCGATGTTTCAGGATCCTGAAGGTGAACATGCTCGTAGGGCATTACAGCGTGTAGGAGGACAGTTTCCAGGAGGACATGGACCTGATGTGGCACCTGGAATAATGAATTTACCACCTTCTATTCTCAATAATCCAAACATTCCTCCTGAGGTTATCAGTAACTTGCAGGCAGGCAGGCTTGGGTCCACTATTTTTGTTGCTAATGTAAGTTTACAACTGTATTTTATAACTGTAGTATTTGATCTTTGTAAAACATCTTGTATTCCTGCATAATTCAGTTTTAATAGAGGAAGTTGGAAATGTTAGTTCACAGTTAGTGTATTCAACTAAAAATGCTGGATATGTGTTCAGATTTTGGACATGAAAGGTACGTTAAACTCTTGAGGCTGACATGTACTTTTAATTATTGCACAGTGATCTGTTGATTTGAAAAAAATACATCTTTTCACTATCTACTTAAAATTGCATTTCTTCTTTTTAATTAAATATACACTTCAGTTTATCTTGCTAGTTGCTTTAACTTAAACTGTTGTATTTGTTGGAGGTGCTTACTTCATAAGTTCTTTATTTGCACAAAAGACTACTATGTCTGCAAGGGGACTTGTGAGAGTACAGCTGCTCTTGACAAGAACCCATCCATTTCTCAATGCTAGTATGTTAATTAAAGTAAAATATGTATATGTAGTATATATTGTTGCTTTTAGTTGACATTTTTGGACTTTGTTGCAGTGTGACTATATTACAAAATCCTGGCTATTTACATATATCAAGCATTTTGCAAAGCTGAAGAGTTAAAACAGTGCAGAAAATCTCTTCCAAATGTAATGGCAGAACAGAAGTGTGCACTGAAATCACTAATATATTTCTGTGTGTAAGCTTGACTTTAAAGTTGGCTGGAAGAAACTGAAGGAGGTATTCAGCATTGCTGGAACTGTAAAGCGTGCAGACATCAAAGAAGATAAAGATGGCAAGAGTCGAGGAATGGGAACAGTTACCTTTGAACAAGCAATTGAAGCTGTTCAAGCAATATGTATCCTTGGTTTTGAAAAATAATTGATCAAATATGGATTAGTCTTTAATGGCTTCTGATAGCGTAGTTTTGCAGATGGTGCTTATTTGCTTTGTAGCTAGTCTGTAGGGACTAGAGTGTAATACTGTGCAGATTACATTTTTAATAGTGACTGAGTTTACTGCTAGAGTCTAAAAAGGTGTTCCAGATAATGTTGAACAAGCTTAAAATATGTGGGAATGTGACATGTGTGAAACTAATTTTTATATACCTAACAGCTGGTATAGTCTCTTCTGGCCTTTGAATTGGCATTCTAAAGATTAGGTAAGGAAAGATAAGACTCCTAAAAATGGTGCAGAAATAAAATAAGTTTTTACAGTGATTCTTCTGAAACAGTTAAATTGTCTTCTGTAGTTAAATTCCTTGACTTGCGTTTCTTCAGCTATGTTCAATGGACAATTCCTGTTTGATAGACCCATGCACGTAAAAATGGTAGGTTGCTTACATTTCTTTCTACCTTACACATCTCTGTCAAAACATTGAAAGGATCATAGTGTAACATCCTTGTTTTTTATCAGGATGACAAATCAATTCCTCATGAAGATTTCCGTGTTGCGGACAGCAAAACTTCACAATTACCTCGTGAGTGCACACTGTTTTCTGCTCCTTGCACTTAATGTTTGTTGGTATAGAGTGTTGGAACAGTTTAGTAGTACTTTTGCTGGCTGTGGTCTATTTCTGATACAGAAGAAAATCTTCTGGTGATACTTCTTTTTGTTTTCAAGGTGGTCTTGGTGGCATTGGTATGGGACTTGGACCAGGTGGACAGCCCATCAGTGCAACACAATTGAGCATGGGTGGTGGAATGGGGAGCATGGGTCCAGGAGGTAAATCTGTATTGTTCATATTTAAATTTTACAGAGCTTTAAGTTTAAAACTGTCATGTCTCTGTTTGGAAGAATGACATACTCTTGACAAAGCAAGCCTTGTGTAGTGTGCTTTTGAGATGTTAACTGTCTCTGTATTTTTTTAAATCCATTAGGATCTTACCTGTCTTCTAAATGGTGTTTGTCTTTTTGGTTTAAAGGTATGGGAATAGATGGTCCAGGATTTGGCGGAATGAATAGAATGGGAGGCGGTACGTGCAGTGAAGTTCTTTGCATTAAGTATTTTTTTTTAATATTGCATAGAAAACACTCTTCCTTATTTTGCAGGACTTGCTGGATTTCGTGGAATGGAAGGAATGCCTAATATGGGAGGATTTGGAGTCAACCGAATGGGAGGTAGATGAACACTGTTCCTGTACACTCATTAGTTTGCTAATATTTATTTATTAAATGCCCTTCCTTTAGGGATGGGTAATGTAGATGAGTTCAAAGGAAATACAGTCAGTGGCATGAGTGGAGGCATAGGAACTGGCGTGGGAGTTAAATATTTGATAGGTGCCTCTGACTTGAGCACTAAACCCACTTCTATTGAAACAAGGAGCTGTGAAACAAGTGTTGTATGAACATCAGCTTAGATGTATATAGCGGAATATTTCTTTTTTTTTTTCTTTGTTCTCTACAGAAATGTTCCGTGGTGGAATGGGAGGAAACATGGACAGAGATTTTGGTCGTAGTGATATGGCATTGAACCGTGGCTTTGGAGATTCTTTTGGAAGGATGGGTATGGTAACTGTTAAATTTCCTGTGGCAAATTGCAATGTAGTATTGGAAGAGTTTTACTAGAAGAAAAATCAAGAGACCTGGTTTCATTTGGTCACCATCCTCTGTCCCCTCTCCCCCAGTCATTACTATAGGGATGTAATCTGAGTATTTATGATAGCCACTGCTTAGAACGGAGGTTAAAGTGTGGAGGCTTTTTTCCGTCTGTAAAATATAAACAAAATAGCAATTTGAGGAAAGCATTTAGCTTCATACTGTTAGCTTTGTGAGTTATTAAGTCTTTTGGGTATTAAAGTATATGCTTCTGGTAATCCTGAACAAGCTGCCCGTGTACCACCTTTGTTACTTTCAGGAGCCTGCTTTTGCAAATGCATGCTGGAAAATGGTTTTTACTGCAAATCAGGTAGCATTGGATAGGAATGGTGAATTTTGGTGCCCTATGTTTTCTTCCTGCCTTCTGAGCTCAAGCAGCTCAGAAGGGGGTTTACTGGCCTCTTCTGTAACTGAACCAGCTTTGGTTTGTTTATAGATGATGCCATATTGACAGAGTTCGTTTTGTTACTCTTGGGTTCCCTATCTTCAGAGGCCTGGAAGTGCTTAAACAGTAGAGCCTTCTTGCACTTCTGTACTATGCTATTACCTGGATGTATGCATTATAGGAGACCAGGTTTTCTTCCCCCTCCTCCCCATTTTTCTCCCTTTCCCCCTCCTTTAATTCCCCACTGTGAAAGAGAAGAGCTGCTAACAGCGTACAGTTCATCTGGTCTAAAAGTTGAATTTTTTTTTTCTTTTAATTTGGGCAAGTCATAATAAAGGGTAACTCTTGTGTGCTTCTCTTTGAGCACTGGTAATTGTGTAGAAGTGATAAGAATGTAATAAGCTTGTGAGTTGAGTTAGTCTTAATGTCTTGGAATTAATGTCTTAGAAATCAAGTGTATGCTTTCACTCTGTCTACTTGCAACACAGAATAGACATCTGTTTCCTAAGTGAAAATCCAAACCCACATTCAGTTATAAATGTTCATGCAAGCAACAGACTTTGGAATCTTCTGGTAATGCACATTGGTTTTGAAATGCATGAACATGGCCACTGTGAGAAACTGATGTGGGAGTCATTCATTCAGTAGATCCAGCAAGCTTCAACTTACAAGCTCTCAGCAATGTTACCATTTAAATACTGTTCTGAGAACCAAGATAAGAGTTTTGCAATTTATCCTAAAGTAATGGAAGGAAATTGTAGGGATTTACAAATACAATAGTTAATACATACCGTGTTTAGTCAGGGAAGACCCTAGTGTACTCCTGTTAAAATCAAAGTGGTGTCAAGCATCTCCAAGCATGTAATTTTTCTTTGGTGAAAAGCCATTGGGGGGAACAAGTACAGGTAAAGGGAGTTTCTACGGTCAGAAACAGCTGAAATCTTGTTTATTAGGATTGTTTCAGCTTTCAGGTTGTGTGTGTGCTTGTTTTTTTTTTTTGAAGTGCATCTTAGACCGCTGGGGACATTTCACCCCCTGCCCCTTTTAAAAGCGAGTGGGTGTAACTGGGATGCAGTCACAAACAACTAAGGTTTTCTAGCTCTGGAAAAGTGGGGATTTTTTTTTTTCTTCACAATTCTTTTTAAGGGGAAAAACCAGTCATGTTGACAGTAATCCCAAAATTTGACATGGTGTTTCATTGCAAGACCCTCTCTGGCCTAATGAATAAGTGCTAAGATCTTCCTCGTACGCAAACTGTTGGCTGAAGTAATCCTGCTGGCATTGAACATCAGTAGGTTTTTTTTTTTTTAAACAGCCTAGCCCATATTTTTTGAGGTCTTGGTATGGCTATGACAGCATGTTGTCTGAGAAGAGACAAATATTTCCCACAAGAGACTGGCAGGGAACAATTGTTGCTGTTTTGAAATGTGTGGAGAAAACAAATCTAATGGAAGACTCAGTGGTGACCTTTTTTAGATATTAGAACAATGGTGTCTAGCCTAAAGATAACAGTTATTGATCTATTTTGCCGTAAGTAAAAATAGAGCTTTTTCTTTTAGGTATGAAAATCAAGCAGGAAAAATGCAGCTAACAGTTCCACTCTGTTCTGCAGTGACAACAATGTAGTTCTTCTGAGCTTCTACAATTCTAGAAGCTCCCTTGGGATTACTTTCCTTAATATTCGCACTTCAATGAAAAGAATTATTTTTACCCTGCTCTAGATCAGTCTCTGATACCATTCTGGAGATTCCATGGTTCTGCCAAACAGCTTTTATTAAGTATCGATTCGCTTTCTTTCTCCCTTTTCCCCACCAAATTCCATCCTTTCGCTATTCATATGCAGTAAAGAAAAGGCTTTGGGAGACCTGCTCCTAGCTTTTGCATAGGTTTCTTAAAAATGGGAGAAACTAGGGCATTTCTGTACTATGAAGTTCAAATAAGATGAACCCTTCGGTTCTCCTGTTCTTCCCAATGTGGGAAATGGCTCATTTAGTTTTAAGCTATTTGTGCTGCTGGCAGACTGTCAGAGGGGGAGAAAAGCTAGAAAGAAATCAGAGTAGCTTAAATCCCGTAATAGAGAAGGAAGAATTAATGTTACTAGATGTTTCCTATTTAGTTTGAATAATAAAGGCACAGGTTAAAGTGTTCTGTTGAAAAGAATTGCCAGGTAACATTGAGATCAGTGAACTTCATCAGCGTGTGCTTTGTTGTTGTCACTAACTGGTGGTTTCAGTGTATGTCACTTTATTATTTTTTTCTGTTTAGGTGGTGCAATGATTGGTGTTTTTGCAGGAGGAATGGGAGCGCCTAGCATGGGCCCAGTAAGATCTGGAATGAGTAGGTTAACTTGTTTCAACAGAATGTAAATGCATAGGCAATGTAATGATATGGTGTACATGTAATTGTATCAGAGGATTTTGTTGTAGTGTAGTGTCTTGCCAGTGTTGGAAGTAGAATTCTGTTGCATGTGACTGCAAGTTTAATAGTTTTCAAAGCTGTTTTGTTGAGGTAAAAGTTCAGAGGAAAACTTGCTAATACAGTCTTTCCCTTAATCTTAGTTTTGAAATGGTTTTAACTTCTGGTTTGGAGGGAGAAGCGAGTCAGGTAAACTTGTGTTCCAGAAAAAAGACAAATAGGCAGAGTTATTTGTGTGAACTTAATGAAGCTGAGCTTCAGTAATCTCTCATCATTGAAGTAAAAAATCAGCCTTGAATTTCAGATTATCACTCAGTTTAATTTTGTGCAAAGCTCCAGTACCGAGTTTGTATTACAGCAAACGTGAGTTCCTCAGGCTAGAGCAGATGAGAAACTTAAAATCTTGCTCGTGGCAAGCTTGAGAGGCATAAGGCTTAAAGAGAAGGTCCCTCATGAATTATCTTGATAGTTTTGCTTCACATTAATTTTTAATTATGAATCCAGAAAGATTATAATAGGATATTTGAACGCCATTGATCTTAGTTCTTTATATAATATACATGAATATATTTCATTGCATATATTATAGGAAGGTCCATGCTCTTCACAGTACTTACAGTAACATCTGTTCTCTGCAAAATATGCTTTCTCTAGAAGATTATGTCATTAAGTGTGGCTGCATTAAGTAAAGCTGAATGTGAATGCAGGAAGCAAAATAAACAATAGTGTATATGGTCAAATTATCTGTATCTTAACATTGTCACAGTTACTTGATCTCCTTTTGGTACAGGATATCCGACTTTTATTAATTAAACCAGACAGCCTTTAAATCTTAATTCTTTACTTGTGTCCAACATTTTACTGCATTAGATGGTGTGACTAATAGCTTGATGCAGTTTGTTTTTTACTTTTATTTTAGAACTCACACTTTGTATCTTCTAATACTTTGACTTAAAATACTAGCCATGCTACTAGATAAATCACTGTGCATATATGAAGTTGTGTTTTGTATTACAGCAGTTTTATTAAAGTTATTTTTCTCCTGACATAAAAGAATTTTTTTTCCCCAAATACTTGTACATTTATTACTAAAAAGAGATTTTTATTCTGTCCTCCTTTTCTTTCTCTGTGTAGGTGGTGGAATGGGTGGTATGAACAGTATGGCTGGAGGAATGGGAATGGGGATGGATCGGATGAGTTCTGGTTTTGATCGAATGGGACCAGCTATGGGTGGAGGCCTGGACAGGAACATCGATATTGATCGAGGATTTGTGCCTGGCCCAATGGGAAGTGGCATGAGAGAGAGATTAGGCTCTAAAGGCAACCAGATATTTGTGAGAAACGTAAGCATTTGAATACATAGAAACCATGAGGCTATTTTGTGTGCATGTTTGATTACATGCTCTTTTTCTCTTTGTAATATTTTGTTGTTAATAATGCTTTTTCATTCTAGCTTCCTTTTGACTTGACCTGGCAGAAGCTAAAGGAGAAATTCAGTCAATGTGGTATGTATATGAATCTTGTCCCTGCCTAGCTCCATCGACTTCATGTTTTATATGGTGTTCGTTAGATAAGGACAGGAGGACAAGGTTATTGCCTTATCCTGAAGAACAGTCTGGCTAGCCTAATCTTTCTTACTTCCCCCACCGTTCCTGAGTTACATAAATATTTTTTAGGCATGACATAACACGAGACCAAGGTACAGTATGGGCTGTGTTGGCTCTGAGTGCCCTTCTGCTATAAACTTCAGCCCATTCCATTAATAAAATTACTCTTTGAGCTTTTTCTTTTTTGACGTTGGTATTATGTATCCTCTGGCCAACACAGAGTATATAACATAGCATTTATTTTGAGACAAATGCATGCAGGGGCCTGGGCCTGTCCAGATTATACATTACTTCCAGAAATGGTGCTGCATCATATCAGAGTTAGTAATCTTGCCAAAATGGCAGATTGTTTTTTATGCAAATAGATGATCCTGATTAGCATATTTGCAGGCTGTAATGCTTCCCCTTTATGTTAAGAAATAAAGGCCTTTTTTATGTAAGATAAAGCATTGCTACAAATATCCAATAATTCTTTTTATCTAATTCAGAAAAGTTGTCTTTTCATAAAAGTGAATGAAAAATGAAGCTTGGGTGTAGAAATATATGATTTGTTTTGAAAATGTACTTTCAGAATGGAAAGCTTTAACTGAATGACAGGTGGCTGTTATTATTTTGGAGAGACAAAAGACAAATAATTTAAAACATACTACTGACACCTAAGACAGTCTTCATACAGCTATTTGCAGGTTTGATAGAAATCAGAACTCGCAGTTCAACTATGAAAAATTTTCAGGTGTTCACATTTTTTTTTGTAGCTGGAGGATAGAGCAAAACAGGTTCCCTCTTTTTTTAAGTCTTAACTGCCTGGGTGTAACTTCCAGATAGTTCAGAATTTTTTTTTTTTTTCCCATTATCTCCTCGGCAACTAACAGATGTAGTAATTATGTTGAATTGTTTTTAAGAATTATAAGCACAAATATAAGCAACAGATTGTATTCATGCCAGTATTGTAAGGAAATATAAAGACCATGTCTCTGTATGTTCAATTTCTTTCAGTGAAAGACCAGTCTTCTATTATGTGATATTTAAAAATAAAAAGCTATGTATCTTAGGGAAATGTTTCTTGTTCCTAGTGGCATTTGGGGGCTCAGGAGTGGTGTGCTACAACATACCATAAGCAAAAACTCATTAGCTCCAGGCATTGAATGTTCTCTGAGGTACCAAGATATCTACATAAAAATGTTGCCTCATGAGTTGTGTCCAACCTCAAGAAAACACTGCAGGAATTGAATAGTGCATGCTACTTTAACACCACTCCTAACCTGGTAACTTTACTGTTTTAAAGGCTCTAATTTTGCTCTGCAGCTTCTTTACAAAATTGCTTGATTGTTGTGATTGCTTGGTATGTTGCTGTGATGAACAAGGTAGACTGGATTGAACTATAATTCAGTTAACGCCTGTCAGTAGTCACACTTCTGGCAGTGTTGGTAAATGAAACACAAAACTTTCCCTCAGCCTTATAGGGCACTTTGTTTCAAACTTGAGGTCAAACACAGGCATGCTTCATCTTACGCTAGTGTGAAGGAAAGATTTGAAACAGTGGATCTTAATTTGGATTCTTCGCTGCTGTTTTGACCTGTGTCACCTTCTCTGAATGACTGACTGTACTATCAGTCTGAAAGTGCTAATTTCATATGTCCCCCTAGATTATATTTAAAAATGCTTTTTTTATCAATTCTGATGAGTTCTTTAAGTTGTTAGTGCACTGAAGACTTGAAATAACTGCTGTTTAACTTATTTATTCAGGTCATGTAATGTTTGCAGAAATAAAAATGGAGAATGGAAAATCAAAGGGCTGTGGAACAGTCAGATTTGACTCACCAGAATCTGCTGAAAAGGCCTGTAGGATAATGAACGGCATAAAAATCAGTGGCAGAGAAATTGATGTACGCTTGGATCGCAATGCATAATTTAAAACTGTGTGTTCAGGAACATTCCTATGTCTGTTTAGCTTCTCTATCCTAGTAAGTCATTTTTAGTAACATTGTATGCTTACAAAAGCTGTAAAAAGGAACTTTTAAATCCCACCAGCCTTTAACAGTATAGTGTTTAATATACTGTAATACTTGTTAACTGAATCTTACTATGTTTGGTTTTTAAAGACAATTTGCCTGATTTTTGTTGTTTTTTTTAGAGGCACTGAGCACCTGCAGGTCCCTGTAGACCATGGAAGCTTTGGATGCTCAGCGCCTTTGGAAAATTAGGCCAAGTGTCTCTAGTCATTCAGTTTAAATGAATGGTTATACTGTTTTTAATAAAATAAGCCATTTTCTCTGTTAATCTCAAGATTGCATAGTGGGATTTGTTTAGTGTTTTCTGATTTTTTTTTTAATTC